AAAGTTGAGCAATGGAGTCTACAGGAATAAGATTATGAAACTATGATAACTGAATCTTTAAGATGAAAGTTCAAGGAGTAGCTGTAAGATATCTTACCAGTTCTCCACGATAACCATGACCAGATGTGTGCAGCCCCTCATTCTTACCCATTACGATATTTGATCCAATCTCAGAAATGCGATTTAGCATCTTCATCACCCGAGATTCATTACCAGGGATTACCTAGAAGTAAAACATAGAGCTAGTTACTTAATTTCAAGGAAGTTCAGCAAGATCCAATAAAACTTAATTATAATGGCATACAATGAAACTATACAAATAACATTAAAAAAAAAAAAAATCCCAAATAGAAAGATTATAGGAGAGGTTAAGTTAAAGCAAAAGAATAAACAGTAAGGTATAGAGTATATGGTATTGATTAGTGAACAAACTTCCAGTTGAATTATAAGAATGAGGAATTAAACTTGGAATCAACTTAAGTAAACAATGGATATCATAGTACACACTACCTTAGCAGAGTAAAGAATAACATCTTCCTTGGTCAATTTGAATGAATGACTACCTCCATATGATGCAAGATTCAAGGCTGCCCGTGGTTCTGCCTGACACAATAGCATGCACAGTGATAAGCCAGCTAACTGGACAAAAAAGAGGTGGTGGCAAATGGAATTTTATCCCAGGAGTTAATATTGTCTAGTTTAACTTACTTGCGATCCAGTAGTCACAATTATCAAATCCTTTGGAGCATATGCATCAATATCCTCCACTTTCACCTAAATTGTACAGGAGAGAACAGCAAAAAAGGGTCGCAAAGAGATATGTGAAAAAATTTTATGACAGAACAAGATAAATGCATATCTATTATAATTATAAAACTCTCATTAAAAAATGAAAATCAGCTGCCAAGCTATTTTCAGGTAAGATACTTATTAAAGCAGGTTGCATGTCCGTGAAGAAGAAACCATTAGAAAATCAGCCCAATGTAGACATTTATGTACAGTGAACACCAAATTTCTAGGTCACCTTCAGAGTAAAGCACACACTGTACCAAGCATATAACACCACAACACTGTCAAGTTTCATGGATGCAATGTAACTCAAGTAAGAAATTCAAAAAAAAAAAAAATAAAAATAAAAAAGGAAGACCACTTAATCAAGACAGACAAGCCTTGCCTTCATTGTTCAGGAAAAAAAAAAAAAAAATTAAAAATAAAAAAGAAAGACCACTTAATCAAGACAGACAAGCCTTGCCTTCATTGTTCAGGAAAAAAAAAAGGAAAAAAGGGAGCAAGTTGGGCAAGCCTTTGTGAGAAGCCAGATGTCACACTCATCCAGGAAAGGGAAAGCAGCATAAGTCAATTAAAAGAGCAAGTACATTGCATATATTACAAGTTTATGGTGCTTAAGAGAACATTTTTTAAAAGTAAAATTCTGAAGAGGACATCATCCTAGTGGATGCCAAGCAGCTAAAAAGAAGGGAGGGAGAGAGTATTCTTTTATAGATAACCCCACTTCTTCAGGATCTAGCACAAAAAAGTTTCACAAATGAACAACACCAAATAGAACGCCATAAAATGAAAAACAAAAAGGAAAAGAAATTTTGATACCAGAGTTGATGGATCAATGGGTGCCTTTCCATCCTTCCATGCTGCATCTAAGTATGTCCTTAATGACATGCCAACAAATACCTAATACATGGGTCACATCAACATCAGCAGCAAGGCCATATTCTCTGTTCCAATTCCCAACAGTAAAAAGAACCTACCAACTTTCTACCAGTTAAATCTGCAGCAGCTTTTACGCTTCCAAGTCGGTGAATATTTGATGCAAACTGAGTAGTGATAATCCTTCCTTTTGCAGCTGAAATATGCCTCAACAATGCATCTGCTACTGTTTGTTCACTGATTGTTCTTCCAGGTGACATCACATTTGTTGAGTCACTCATCATCTGAAAAGGATATGATTAAATAAAACTGCATACTTTCTTTAGAAGATTCAAAATAAACTAGAGTCAAAATTCATCCTTTAGTGTCAAAAAAAATGGCATCCTCTATATTTCTGGAGAAAAACTGCATATAATTAGAAGGCAAGTTCTCAGCTGCATATAATTAGAAGGCAAGTTCTCAGTCAAAAAAGAAAAAAGAAAAAAGATTAGAACTCAAGAAGTTCATAGGATCATGACAAACCTTCAAGATATACAATTATCTCTTTATTCTTTTCTTATAGAATATGAACTTAATAATAGGAATATGATTAAAAGAATAAGGAACATAAAACTCATAACCAAAATGAATAAGCTAAAAAGCCAAGGTACTTAGCTACCACAAAGTCTTTAACTTCAAAATTTTACATAAAGAAAACTTTAGCTTAAATGCTTTGTTAAATTTCCAAAACCAATAAAAATGCTAAAACTTTGTTTAAGATGGTACTGTAATCGCAAGCCAAATACTTTCATCTTTTCATAAAAGCCTGAGGAGACAAGTATTCTCTCCCAAACAGGGAACTATAAATGCGGCACTTCTATCCTATCTTCAGTTTTTCAGAACAGGCAAACAAAGCCTATAGGTGTTGTGAGACCCATCCAGTTAAAAAAAAAAAAAAAAAAAAGAAGAAGAAAGAGAAACTAAATTGAAAATGGTAAACAAAATAAATTTAACTTCTAACTTCTACAAACTGTGACATAAGTCTACTACAAAACCAGCAGGCTTACCAATGTTACTCCTTCTTTAGAGAGTTCCTCTAAAGCTTCACGATCAAAAACTTTCCCATCCAATGGTGATTCATCAATCTATCAAAAATCAAATGCTTAAGTCTCTTAGGATCTAAGTAAGAAGGGAAGATAATCTGTAGGTGGGAAAAATTTACCTTCCAATCCCCAGTGTGAAGAATTGTACCATCAGCACAACGAAGAACTAGCCCACAACAGTCAGGAATAGAATGTGTAACCCTGATTGGCTCAATTTCAAATGGCCCAGCCATAAATCTCCTCCTGGTGCGGAATACCTTAAGCCTTGATGGAACAAAAATCCCATTTTCCTTTAACCGCTTTTTGATAAGCTGTTAACATTAAGCAAGTGTTTATCATCAGTCTGCACAGAAAATGATGATCAAAGAAGCCAACTAGAAATAAACCACCATCAAATACATAAGATACAGATTATTGAAAGGTATAACAGCCTTCATAGTCAATTCCAGTAATAATTTCTTTTTATAGCAAGAAAAAAATTCAAGGTAAGAAGCCAGTGATGGACAAAAAAAAAGACAAGAATCCAGTGTCCATAATCCATTGATGCCATGTATTGGCTGACACATGGCGTCAATAAAGAGTTGTATGTTGCACATTTCACCAGCAATGTGCAATGCCATGAACGTACTTATTTTTTTTATGGTTGCTATGAACATAATTATATATCAGAACATCAAAGTAACTAATGATCAATATTATCTATTATGTACCTCCATCGTAAAGGATGATGCATATATTGGTGTACAGGAATCCAAAGCTGGGATCACCTGCATAAAGAGAAAGAAAATAGTAAAAGAAAGCAAAACAGGAAAAAAAAAAAAGAAGAAGATGAAGAGAGAGAGAAGAAGCTTCTTATGAATATTTTGAAAGCTGCTCTATCTTAATTTTTCCATCAGAGTTTACCACAAAGTAAAACAAGATAGGTCTACAAGGTCACAGGTGGTAAAGAGGAAAGAACAAACTTAAAAAGCTTAGTAGACAAGAATTTACCCAAGGCAATGCACCAATGTGATCTTCATGTCCATGCGTTATAACAACTGCTTCAATTTTGTGACTCCATCTTTTAATGAATGTTGTGTCAGGTATTATCTTTTGGACTCCAAGCTCATCATAGCTGAAATGCAGGTAACACACGTAATACCAAGTCCATAAATCAACAGAGTGGAATAGAAGCAAAATAAGCAATTATTTCAGGCCACAAAAGCCAATTATTTCAGCAGCACATTTGATAATAACTGCAAAATCCTTATGAGGTCACATTTTGATACCCATGATATCCAAACTAAATTGATAAATTTAGACTACCAACAGAAATTGGAAACTTTTTCAGAAAGCAACAGAACTTGTCAGATACAAACCATAAAGGGAATAAAGTACATAAGAAACAAATTGAACTCTAAAAAAACTGCCTGCAAGAACTAAGGGTATTCATCTTTCAGGAATTTCAAATGTGGTATGAGACATACTCTGGAAACATGACACCAGCATCAATCAGAATATAGCGATCATAGTGCCCAACAAGCATGCAATTCATTCCAATTTCTCCCAGACCACCAATTGGAAGAACACGGAGTGGTGGCCCAGTAGCCCCTTCATAGAACTGTTCCATCTTACGCTGGACAGAGTCTTCCATGCTTTTTCCAACCCCTTCCAATCTTCCTGATCTTTTCCGCGGCACTTTAGTTCTTCGAGCACCTGAGACAAGACCAAAAGACATACTTACGAAAAAAAAATTCAAGAAAGAGGCTTGGAAATAAGAATGCTAGCAAACTGCCAGGAAAGCACTTAAAAATTAGAAGCTAAAATCTTGAAAATTCACTGAAACATTGTATAATGACATCATTTCGGCCTCCAACAAAATGAATTGTAAATCTCAACAGTCATGTCATATTTCTTACTTTCAAAAATCAAAATTGTGTTCATTTCCATTTTATTAATTCTATTAGCATCAATATCAACTATCAGGGATTAATAAAACTAGAACCAAACTTAAATTCAATCAAAAAGAACTTTATATATTCACTACAAATCTTTCACAATCTCATTTTCGTTTCTTTTCTTCAACTTTCCTTCCCTTTCCCAATAACTACAGTCCATTGAGAAATTCAAAAGCAAATGAAATCGTACACTGTGGTATGCAATGATTGAAACACACCTGATGGGGTAGCAGAGCTGAGAGAGAAAGAAATGGAACGCCTTCTAGGACTTCGCCGGCAAGAAAAAGCGTAAGGGCACGGCGACAGAGCAATACACGCAGCCATTTTCTGGGATAGTTTTGAAGTAGACAGAGATAAACCTCCCAGAAACCCTAACTGCATCTGCTTTTTGAACGGAAACGGCGAGATTAAAACTTGATTATTGGCGTTCCGTGGCCGGGTTTAGCGGGAAATGGAGAGTGAAGTAGGGATTTTTGTAAGGCAGAGAAGTATCTTGCTTATCATTTCGGGAACGGGACAAAACTCCACACGTGCCTTCTCAACTCATTTTATCCGCACGCAAACTCTCTCTCTCTCTCTCTCTCTCTCTAAATTAATTTTTTAATATTTAAAAATTACATTAAATATCAATTAATTTAAAATAAATAAATATTTAACTTCATAAAAAAAATTAAATATTTTTTTATTTATAAAAATTTTTATTAAAAAAATCAAAAACGTTTTTTATTCAGACCAACAATTCCTTCCTGGTTCCTGCATGCAAACTCTCTTGACTCTCTTCTGTTCCTACCTAGGAAAATGATATCATCGGAAGAATCCCTATTTTATTCTGTAATTGAACGTCCAACTGTAGAATAGTGGCTATCGAGCAAGGAGAAGTGCCAATATTAAGGAGTTTATTTTTATTTAATAAATAAAATTATATAATTTAATATAATTTAAATTAGATGGTAAGTTTTTTTGAACTTACTTCTTTAACTTACTTCTTTAAGATGAGTTTTTTAAATTCGTGATTTAAGAACTCAAATTAAATATATATTTATTATATTTTTATTATTAATTTATATAAAAATTATTGAAAATAAATTTTATTTTTAATATTAATAT